CTTTCTCGGGCACTTAGGACCATTTTTCAAAAGTAGTTTTCAGCCCTTCTGCCCTCATATGAAAGCTCAAAGACCCAGGGAGTTGATCCTGCCGGCAACGATTTACACAATCTCACCATTTTTGGGGGCCAAACAATCTCCTTTTCAAAAGATACTGTGGGGGGGCACTTTTAATGCTAATGAGCTGGTCAGAAATTCTCACTTGAATTAGTGCTGCACCCTGGTTGTAAGTGACAAGCAACATGGCGGCGTCTATGTTGTAGTAAACTATTCGAGAGTTAATACTTAGACAACTGGGGTGAATTCTTCTCTATTTAAATAGGAACATTCACTTCTGTGTTGTAAAAAATAATTAATGTTAATTTTGCAAAACTTCCTATTGTCTCCAACTTTGTAAACCATTTCTCTATTTTGTTTGCAGCTGTTCAAAAATCAACATCTCAGGAGTTTTTCCGTGTGTTCCTGGCCTGTAAAACCCTGACGAGGGGGTGGTGCGGGATCCTGTTCCGAGAACAGTGTTCTTGAGTCGTGTTCCCGCCGTTCGAGCGCGATAACAAGAAACCCGTGTCAAGAACATTGCGCCCGAACTCGACCCAAGAGAGCCGCTTCCGCGGCGGGTGCAAAAGCTCAATATCTCCTAACCGGTTTTGGACGACAACGGATAACCCTTATTTTTTTAACAGTTGTTCGATGTGATAAATCATTTATGGGTATATCAAAGACCAGTTTCTCGCATCCGCCTAAGGAAAAAGAGCAAAGCTATAGAAGTGTGGGGGAACGTGTCCCCCCCCCAAAAAAAAATTCCCGGTGCCCCCAAAGTGCCTCCCCCCCCACTAAGAAAAAAAAGGATGAATGGATATTGAATAAGGCTAACAAAGCCTTGCCCTTATAAAAACCACACTATTGAAAGCTGGTGCGCCCTTATGCCCCCCCCCAATTACTTTCTGTTTCACTTGTAACGTACAAAATGGGTGGATATTAACAATTGTCTTGATGTCCTGATGTCTTAATGTCCTGACTTCCTGATGTCTCGATGTCTTGATTTCTTGATGTCTTGATATCCTGACGTCTTGGGAAATTGGGAGATGAGAATGGTCGGACGGGACTGGTTGGAGTTCTTCCTTCCATGCCACATCCTTTCTCTGACTTTTTCCCTGATGTCTCGATGTCCTAATGTCTTGGTGTCTTGATGTTCTTATGTCTTAATTTAACAACAAAAAGCAATACAAGGTTACATTTTTAATTTCTGTTTTCTTGGCCTTTGAATTTGTTTTGCCATCGCAACCCTTATGCTATTACTGCTGGCATGCATGGAGTGCCACATTGACAGTAGAAAAGAAAGGAAGAATCAAGGGCAGAAGTCTTGTTGATTCAAGGGATGTCGAACGGAACAACGATTAGTTGCTGTAAGTGAGTGAAGAGATTACATTTTGGATGCTGGCGTATACATCAGAATGCCCTTAGACGACCATGAATACCATGAAAACAGATAAGAACCAAGCAAAATAGCATCGTACTGAAATTCATATGAACACGCATTTACCGATAGTGTTTAGTTTCTTTTATGTGTTAAAGAGCTGGCATTAATTACATGATATTAATTTGGAAGTAACGTGTTTTTCGTTTTAGTTTTTCTCTTTGATGTTTAGGACTGAATGAAGCAAACCTCGACAAAGCAAAAAGAAAACGTAGGAACCCCGACAAGTTAGCACAACTGTCCTCAACTTTCTTTGTTGTCGTTTTTGCTTTGTTGTGGTTTTTGTTGTTTTGTATTTTGATTGGGTTTGGGTGTTTTGTTTTCTTTGTTTTATATTTGGTTTTTAAATGTTTTGCACATTTTCTGCATGAGTAATTTCCTTTCCTTTTCGTTTCTTGTCTTTATCCTAATCTTCTTGATAACCGTTCAAGTAATCGACTTAAACAGTTGTTTTAACGTCGTTTTTTTACCGTCATTTTACTGGCCTTTTATCGTCGCTTATTCATATAGACAGTATTTAGAGTGAACCAAACAAAAATGAAACAGTAGAGTTGGGTTCTATTACAAATTAATTCTATTTTTGGCATGGATATTAATTGCCTTGTTTTTAATTTCTTTCCCGTTAAATCACCAGGGACTAAATGCCTGAAGCTTGTTATTATCAAGTGAATGAACTTAAGATGACCACCGACTAAAGTGCAAATGTTTTTTGCATTTTTAGTGTTTCCACATTCTTGCAACTTGTTCCTTGATTCTATCTTAGGTACAAATGTAGTCTAGGTTCCATATACCGTTGGGAGGAGTATATCTTTGACATTTCTTCAAAAAGATATCGTTTCATTTTCCATAAGGTGATGGATGGTATGTACTGATGGAGGTTTTGTAAATTAAGCTCAAGAATCTTAAATTTGGACAAATCGCTTTTGACAAAAAATCTGAATTTTTTCAGAAGATGCTTATCGTTTGTGCTGTTTTTCTCTTCATTTGTCCAAGGATTTTTTTTCCGAAGAAAGAAGACTGTCAAAGACTAAGCATCTATACTTTTCCATCTTCTTTTGATTATTGGAGCATATGGAGTCTGCGTTTGAGAATTTCGTTACATAAAAGTTAGATCACTTTATTCGCTTGGAAGTTTATTTTTCCCATAAAATGTGCACCAAAAGATGATATTATGAGCTATTAAATATCATCAATAAGAATCTTTTGTAATGTGGCAAAAGTAACGGAGCTAATTTTTAAAATGTAACAGGCATGATGGTCCCTGAATATATTTTGTTTTTGTTTTTTGTGTGAATAGATTTTTGAAAACTTTCCACCACCGTCACCAAGTTTTGGTGTTATTTTATGTTTTGTATTTAAAGAGCCCATTGACGGGTAGTTGGTTTTCCTGATACATTTCGACTGAAAACTTATCTTAATTAACAGTATATAGAAATGTAGTTGGTGTAATAAGTATAAGCAATTTTAGATGGGAACAATGTAACCCAGATGGAACTTAGGCCTAAGCATGCACAGCAAATTACTATAAGATATCCAAGGATTTATATTAATGTTGAATTTGACTTAAGCAAAAGTCCTCAAAACTCCATTCACTCTGACACAGTCACCTAACACCAACACTGACTGCCATACTCACTATTCCACCACCCACCAGGGACAGGAGCACTAAATTAGCTTAAGGCAAATGAAACATTCATGTTCAAATTAGTAAATGTGTAAAATAAGTGACGAACTACATCCACTGAGTTTTAGCGTTCTTGCCACCTCAATGTAATGTGTACGCCTACTTTGTAGTATACTACAATATAAGCGTGGAAATTTGAATACGTGTACTAGACAGTAAACTTCGAAGTAATTTACCACAACACATTTGCATTAAGATCTACCTGGCTTCTTCAGTTGACCCAGCTGCCCGTTCTCCTTTTTGTCGTTGCAGCTAAAAAGTATTTAAATGTTTTCAAGCATGGGTGTAGCCGTTTTGGGGGAGGCCCTTGGGGAAGGGAAAACGATAAACAATGGAAGGGGTCTCTTTTGATATTTTTTCAAGCAAATTGGTGATTTTTATTCCGTTGATTTTTTTCATTTTCCTTTTCTTCGACCTTTTTGTTGGGGGGAGCAGGGATAGGTGGGACAAGCGACCCTTCTCCCCTTGCGACGCCCAAGTTATGTTATTTGTGATTAATTTGAAGGCAATGGTTATAGCGTATGACCAATCTGAATCACAATGGAGATAAAGAAATCAATGGCGGATTGATTCTTGACAATTTGCACGTCCTGCACGCGTAAGTTTTTCCTAGGAGGGTTACGGGGTGATTATAATAAAAATGGGCGTATATGAACCGTCGCACATGGATTTTTCGCAGGAAGGTTGGGGGCAATTATAAAATTTATTGTGTAACCGGGGCGAGGGGGAAAGGGGCACAGGCCGAATTTTAACCGACTAATCAACCCCACTCGTCGCACAACCGAACAATACCACATTAACTAGGAGTCCGGTGGGAAATTAAATTATGTTCATAGGTGTTCATTCACAGGAGACAAGAAGATGTTCAAAATGAAATACAATTGATTTATAACTGTAATACATACAAGAGTAAGTTCAAGGTATGGTTCCAATTTTGGTTTAGATATGGAGGAACGAATCAAAAATGACAAAGTGGTTAAAGTATGAAGTTGTTTAAATAAACTGATAAATGAACAAACAATGAAAGAGTTAATTAACAAATCTATAAATGAATCTGTAACGAAAGAGGGAATGAAGCTATAATTGAACAATCAAATGCGTCTGTAATTGGAGGGATAAATTGATCTATAAATAAACGACAGTCAAAAGGAATAAACTGAACTGTATAACTACGCCAGATCTGAAATGACAAAAAAGAAAATCCTACTGATAAATGCTAACGAAGTAATATTTGTCTCACACTCATTTAATAGAAAAACTTTCATACTATTGGCATACAAATACATGTACTCATTAAATCAGAGGAATTAAAGAAAAGGAAAGGATCGTCTGCATCTCAACAAGCAATATATCGGCTCGAAGGCCTCACGGCAACAGTGAGATAAATTCAAAGTACAAGTTGCCGAGTGAAAAAGAAAATAATTATCGTGGAGTTGGCATCAGCAGAGATCACAATGTGTGTGTTGCTGCAAGCAGGGAGGATTTGAAAATCAACTGACATTAGCGATCTGGCCGGCCAATCAGAAACTTCCGATTGCCCAATGAAATTATAACGATGTGCAGCATCAAGGCGGGCGAGAATCAGTTCATTTACACGCCGCACATATGTTAATGCACCTGTCTTTTGGGAAGGGCGCGTAATAGATGTTTCGCTTTCAGCTATACACAAAAGTTAACAAAAAGTCAAGTTGGCCACAAAAAGGCGCTAGAAAGGAAGACATGGCATGGGAAATCAAGCAGTCGGTAAGAAAGGCGTTACGGAACGTTGGTTAGCTAGGAAAACAAGACATTATTTGCTGGGACCTGTCGGATGGGGAGGACAAACTTTTAAGGATAACACACAACAAAATCGCTCTCTCGGCCAGTTGCAGGGCAGCTCAGAAGAGCGCTTGACTTGTAATTGTTAAGGCAAGGGTTCGAGTCCACATGTATGCAGTTATTATTTTTTTTCTGGGGGATTAGTTGGTAAGATTTTTTTTTTGTAATAGGAAAGTAAATCCCGTAATTTACCTTCTAACTCAAGTTTCTACGTGTCCACTAAATTGATCGAGCTTGCAGTTAATCACGCTCATATATGATAATTGCCCTGACCCTCCTAGGAAAAAAATACGCGTCCTGCACTGAGCTGCTTTGAAGCGGTCGTAAACTAGTATTGGATGGGTGAGAGGCTGTTTCTGCAATCCAGAGCGCGTCCTACGTTTGAACATAATTTAAATTCAAGTTTAATCCATCTTTATTTGGAAGGTCGGGGCTCATTTTAATCAGTTATTGAATTATCTTTCGGGAAAAAAAACTGAAGCTGCAATTTGCCCATACAAGAAATTTGCCGTAACTCATACACAGCGCCCTCCCTATCAATTATGCAAATAGGGAGACGCTTTCGATCGCTAAGGCCGGCTGGTGCCTAGACGTCACAATTTGGGATTACTAATAAATCTGAGGCATTGTACCTGAGTACCAGAAGATCGGCGGTTGATAACATTACTTTCACTCACGGGAAAAATTGCTGAGGGCACCTGTAAAATGAATTGAATGCACCTGTTAGAAAAACACCCAAAAAGTGATCAGAAGGTGCGAAAACCCGTTATTTTTATGGATTCGATGCCTGTTACTGCACTTCACGCTCAGGTAAGCGTATTTTGTCTTTAAATTCAACTAAAAGGCAAAAAGTCAATGAAAGTGTAACTTTTGGCCTTCGCTCGTGCGTCGTATTTAGTGATAACAGTGATATTATCAAGGCAGTTTACATTGCATGCCTTGTCATTATGAATGACGTTACATGTAAGCGGCAGATGACCAGGTTTCAATTGTCAGTGAAGCAAACGTGATATTTTCAATCGATCATTTATTAAACAGTAAACATAACTTTTAAATTTGTTTTTATACAAGTAGTCAGAAGTGTGGAGGGAGTGGCCAAAAATGAAGGATGATTCATCCTACATTGTTCATCTCTGAATGCAAAATGTTTTAATTATTCAGAAGTTGATGTTTCTACTGGAGTGGAGGTGATCTTCATGTGCCAGGCTCAAGATATTTCAACATAGGCCTATACCGGTAATTTATTTTTGTAATTTACTTCTTTCTCACATTTCCTTTTTCAAAATAACGCAAATAAACAAGTATTATAATCATGTTGACTGTAGTAAAAAGGGAAAGCATATAAAATCCAGTATCCCTGAGAACCCTTTTTGAACTCCGAAAATGACAAGTCATTGCAAAGTCAATATAATTTCTAGACAGAGTTCCATATACGGACGGTGGTACATGTACATGTAATTACATGTATTCCCTTTAGTGACCAATCAGCCATTAGAAAGTAAAAACATGTCCAGAAAAAGTTTGATATAGGATGGAAAATACCAAGTCGTTTTCTTAGAAACAGAGGTGTGAAAAATCAGCTTTTTAGCTGATATTTTTTTCTGCACCTGCGGTGTACAAACGTATGGGGACTTCTTACATTTCAGCTTTTTGCTAGCTATTCTCAGCTTTAATTTTTAAAGGCCACTCACACCCCTGTAGAAAACACTTATAATGTTTCCAAGGGTTTATGCACAGGGTGTCAAGTGGCATCTGCATATGGAACTCTTTCTTAATTTCTTACCGAGAAACAAAAGTGTGTGAGAAAGTATATTATTAAGGTTTGCTCTTTTGATGTGAGGGCTGTGGTTTTCCTATAAGTGGGTGCTAAAACTATACAGTAGTTGGCCATCAGTGCAAAAGTAAAAGAATGATTCAAAGGGTGTTAAAAATCCCATGCAGGGTGTTAAAAAGCCCATGCAGGTATCCCAACACTAGATAAGTTACTAAATACTAAATTAAAATACAATCTTATTTAAAATCAATGAGACAAATGTCCACTTTGATCAAATTGGAGGTGAGACTAAAAACCAACCAAAAGGTGGTATTTCTGCATACAGTACTTTGGCTGCCTATACAAGTTGTGAGCAAAATGAGAGTAGTCTATTGGTAAGAGTTCCATGTACAGACATCACTAATTTTCCTTGCAGTGGTTTACAAGCCTTCAGAAAGTGATAACATGGCCTAAAAAGTCCAATTTTGAAGCATTTTACTCAGAAAACAATTCATAACTTTGTGTGCAGCGTGTCAAGTGAATGTGATATTTGTGTATTAATTACGTAAAATAGTTTTTTTGACACCCATTGCCTTTGTACATGTACACTGTCAGGAGGGTGCCATCTCAAGATTGCCTTCTTTCCTCTATCATGTCTATATCGAGTGCAAAATCATGATCCTCCTTTATTTTTTAACCGTGACTGTAGTGATAGTCGTTCACTACCAACTGTTTTAAAATATAAATCTTTGACAGAATCGTCTCAGAGATCGTTAAACTGTAAACGTGTAACAGAGATCAACTGTGCCACTTGTTGATCAAACAGCCCAAAAACTTCAAGTGCATTACATGTAAAAACATGTACATGTATGTATAGCAGTTGGATATTTTGCCATCATCCAGTTACACATTATATTGTTCTGAACAGTCGACATTGAACTGTCAGATCATATGATGGCAAAATTTTCCCCATTGGAGTGAATCAACACGAGTGCGTGGGTAGCCCATAAACCATACTTGCGTTTGCCCGGTTATTCCTGTTAACATAAGTAGGATGTGTGCGCATTACATTCGGGTGCAGGAGTGTACCCCCCCCTCCAGCGAGAGTATACATGTACTTTTGCTGACCCGTGGGTCGTACATGTACTCAGTGCTGAGTGCTCAGGAGTACGTTTTAACGTACCCAAGTGAGTCAAGAGCGTGTGATAATCCATGGATTCCCAGAGAAGCTGCCTGCCATTTTTTTCTCCTACACCTGTACATGTTCCCTTATGTGACTTGTGACTTGTGAATTTTTGTCAAAGGCGAAAAATTCTGACGTTGCACGGCCTGAATGCTGTTCCATGACCTTGACTTCCTAATTACAGTGTATATGAACCTGATAAAATTTCCCAGCTTGTAAAATGTCTAAGTCGGTCAAAACTCTATATGTTCAGTTGCCGTGCTCATTAAAAAAAAAAAAAGAAGCATATTTGTACTACAGTAGTTCACGGCTAAATATCCACTGCCTTATATGGTCAAGGCATAACGTACATGTACATGTTGATACATACATGTACATGTATCGACAGTGTATACATGTATGTATGTATATATGTACATTTATGTATCAAGAACATCACCCTTAATAGTTTAATGTGTCAAGGCCCCCCCTTCCAGATTTCCAATTTTCAGTTTTAACTATTTTCCCCAAACTCGTGGACCTCATAGATTTATACCACTGCATATGAAACTGTCATACAATGTTATATTGACTCAAGACTCACTGACAGTAGATGCTGCTGCTGTGTCAGATTAAAGCTGTTGAACCTGGCAAGCTGGATGGATTGTGGTCACTGGTAACCACAAGCTCACGGTTGAGTCTCATCCTAGCAAGCTTGCGATTTTTTTTTCTCTGGAAAGATCTCAAGAGCTTTGATATCTTGATACCATAAAAGCCAGAAACTAGGAAATTGAAAAAACTATCCATATATTTATGTTTTTGTTCAGAATGTGCAAGGCATTTTGAAATGCGTTTTTAAGCCATTCTCTGGGGTACATTGTGTGTGGAATAATTTTTAAAAGAGGACAGTTTCACTGAAAAGTAAAAATTGGCTGCATTGTTACTGACCTCATTATTGAAAAAAAAATTGAAAGTAAAATAATAAGTGGTATGTACATGTAATGCCTCGTCTACTTGAATGAAAAGGTTGTGCTGCGTATGATGTGCATACATGTAGATCTGTATCAGTTGTGACGATCAGTGAAGTTTGCTTATATACAGTTCAGTTGTTTTGGTTTCTAATTTTGTTTGTACAATACCAAGAGCTGTTGGAGGTGACACCTACATGTACATGTACATGTAGTAGGAGTTACATGTATATGGTATGTACATGTACATGTACGTGTACTGTTTGTCTTGGTTTATTGAGAAGGTTTACTCCCACATTTTACCCAATAACAAGACTACTCAAAATGTTCAGACAGTTGGAAAGCTAGCTCTGATGTAGGCCCATGACTGCATAATTGCTAGGCCCCAAATTTTGCTATTTACTGTGAAAATCAACCAGATTCACAATGGGTGACAAAAGTTGGGACTTTGCAACTACATGTACATGTGCATATGCTTCACCTTTTGAGAAAACGGGCAGGGGAGCTTATATTCCAGCTTTGATGCCAAAAATGCTATACACGGTATCACAGGATGAAAAAGGAAGAGATGCAATGTATGCCTATGTACTTAACTGTAGTGTGCATTTGGAAAAAAGTAGCGTACATGATCTGAGTGTAGAATGTGCATGGATGGTTGCCAAGTTTATGGTTAGTGCTTGTTATTGCTCATGCTGAGGTCTGCATGTCCATTATTGCTGGATCGTCTAGCTCGGCCAGCCGTCACTTTGGGCAGTACAGGAAGGAAACTACAATTGTGGACCTTGAAAGGAAGTCAGAAGGAGGGACAATGAAATCAAATGTTCATACAGTGTACACTCTTTGCTGAGTGTCATATGGATGTAGTAATTTAAACAGTCTGGAACACCCCTCGTGGAATTTAGACTGAGATCAAGAAATACATGTACTCCTGCCAAATTGTGTCAAAGAACTTTAATACACACAAGCCTGCTTGGGCATTGTGGAACATTTCCTGCTTGAATAGTGTAATGGACGTCAATAGCAGGGCAGGGCATTATAATTTAAACAATTGTGGAACTTTTTACTTCTCCAGAGGTGCATTGCTTCAAATAAGTACTCTTTAGTCAGTACATTAAAACTTTGAAAGTAAGAGAAAAAAGCCTGAAAAGAAAAAAACAAACAATGTAACCATCTCATGCAAGTTGGTCATCTACATATACATGCACTTATTACAACATACATGTACAAGTGTAGTACTGCACATGTACATTGTACATTGTAGAAAAGGGGTTATTCAATGTAAATTGTAATATTGTGTACATGTATTGGGAACTGTTTCTTACAAATTGTTCAGCAAGCAAACCTTTTTTTCGCCATTTGAACAGAAAGGTAATTTTATGAATTAGGGGTCTGATTTGTTTTAATGTCTCTGTCAAATCTGATGATTATGTACGTGTATTAAAGTTCTGAACACATTCGCTAATATATTTATTTAAGAATGTTGAATTAATGCAGATTACCTGCCCAAACAAATAGAGATAATTTGAAATCAATTTCAGTGATACAAATCCCCATGTCAAATTACACAGGTCAGGTGTAACAGAGACACAAAAACATCGCACTTTTCGACCCTGAATTTATAGAATGACTCAGAAACCCCCAAGAGAACATTGTCTACCCAGAATGACATCATAGCAATAGTGCCCTTAGTTATCCAGGAAAGAATGGGCAATTTTACACATATAAGATGGGCACTTTCCAATAAATTAACCAAAAAAGGTTTTAAGAGGCCAATTTAATAAAAGAAGTTAATACAACATTGCAGAGAACAATAATGGTAACTAGAGCTGCTTCTCTTCTCTAGAGCTGTTTTTGTTTTTCAGAGTGACATTGAGCTAACAAAACTTGTCTGCTTATTGACTTCATGACACTAGACCCCGGTCCATCCTTGCCTTTTTACCTTTTGCAATGTTTGTAGAGAAATCTTCTGCTTTTGCATGCACATTTCAGAGAGTCCCTTCACAGACTTTGCTGGTGTTTTTAACATGTACATAACAAGCTGCTTCATCAAGTCAAAGGAAACACTGTGGTTGGGGCAGTTTTTTTTCCAAAATCTTGTTTAATGTGTTAATGGAGGTCCGTGAGTATCAGCCTATTTTAAGGTGTGCCTCTAATTCAAACAATTTGCAGCCAGTTCGCTTGATCAAATATTTTTTTAGCATAGGAAACTGACTTAGGGAGATTTGCTTTTTTTCTCCCTTTGAGAATTGGAAAATGGAAAAGATTGTAGAAACTTGGGTCTTGACATATGGAGAGCATTAGTCAGGAACTTTGTGTGCTTCATACATGTATGCATGACATTGCCAAATGGTAGAGACTAAAAATGGACAATGCAACCTTTTCATTGATGAATACATTTACAGATCCCACCCTTGTTTACTTGTACATGTTGCCCCATATGCTAATTTTGAAATTATACCCTAGCTTTAAATGTCAGGCAAAACATGAACTCTTGATTGAATTGGAAGAGAAATTACATGTACATGTACTTGTTTTGCCCAGTTGGAATTTCTCATATAAATGTTAGTGAGTTGCACTAAGACATGTAAGATGAACTATAACTTCACAAGTCAGTGCTGCAAGAATGTTTGTTCACCACATGATCACATTATAAATAACAGACTGATGGTGAACAATGCCAAAGGAATGCCTCCGGCTGTCATCAGCAAGGTTACAAACCTACAGGTTATAAGCCTGACTTGGAACCGGATTACCGGTACCTGTGATTGGCTCGCGGGGAATTCATGTGAGGTATGTTCTTTCAGACTTCAACACTGTTCTTTCCTGCCAAAATGAGGTGGAGTCCAGGAAATGGCTGTCGTCATGTCATGGGGGAATTTGTGACAGACTGAGGACTTTTTCAAGAGGGAAATGAATGTTGAAATCAGTGATGTCATCTATGAAAACCCCGATGACACTTTCCTACATGTACTGTTGCCCCGGGTAACGCACAGTCAATAAATGAACTCTGGGTGCTTGCTTACCTGGCTCAAAAGAACAAAGAACTGTCAACTTGTAAACTGTAAAAAAAATCCTTTTCTTTCTGACAGCCTTTTAGAATTGTAAGAACATGAGTGCTGTGTCCACTGCAGAGGGAGTCACTGTGGAGATTTTCACATATGGAAAACAGTCTCAAGAATAGAAGTTTGGAATTGTTGTCCAGCATACAGTACATGTACGTGCAAATGACAGTGATAATGCAGTAGATGGTACATGTACATGCATTAGGATGAGGTTTCCTCTCAATTATAGTTGTTAGATGGTACAAAACCAATCTTCTCTTTTCTCTTTAGACCTCAGATTGTGCTAAAATACTTGGAACTGCAGACTTTCTAGTCATTTGAAATGTATACACGTAGGGCATGCTTGTGGGGACTTCGCATATATCCATCTGCGTACGTGTGGTTGCCACGTCGTTTGAAAAGAGATGACCTTTTTACGCCCTCCTATCCCATCAAGCCTTTGAAGTTCTAGTGAAAGACCCAATTTGTGGGATCACCCCCGGCATTATATCTATCGGTCCGAACAACTTTGGTTGTTCTTATCACTAACACCCAGTTCAGTGCCAAGACCTTTTTTTAATTTGTTAAGAAGTTGACCCCTTTCTGTTCCGTTGTTGGAAGGCACCCTAGGTGTGAAGGATGTTTCTGAAAATGGACTGGGGGCAAATGTTACATTGTCCTGCGGGAATCAATGGTTTTTCTATTTTTTTTAATAGGAGGAAATTCAATCGGGGTGGGGGGGAGGTACATGCTTTATTATTTGTCCAGATCATTCCCCATCACAGGTGTGCATTAGACCTGCTAAAGTCAAGCTTTCCAAAAGGGGAGGGGAGCATGATCTAGGATTTTCAACGGGGAAGGGGGGGGTTGAACTAAAGTAGCAATGGTTAAATGCCTGCGAGCGTGTAGCACGAAGCCCTTACAGTGTGGGGTCCAGGGCCCACTTAAGGTATTATTGGATCGGATTCCAGGTGCTCTGTGGTATAATTTCAGGCAGTATAGCCCCTCTTTTTTCTTGACCCCCCTTTTCCTTTTAAAATTTTATCTATTCTTTGGTGAAAGAGGGGAGGGGAGTGTGTATTCCCCATGCCCCCTGGATCCGCCCCAGATTATGATGAAGATATTTCTTCATGCATTGTCAAGACCCAGGTCACCAGTATTTGATATAGTGATGGTAACACGATTTTAGATGGACGCTGTACAGTGTTTGTGACTCAGTGATGATGATGTCCAAAACCAGACCCTAAGGACTTTCGCAGACCCACAGTTTGTCTAGGGCTTATGATTTTTGATAACGAGTCAAGATAGTATTATGCCACGGGCTGTAAATACAGAGAATTGGGGGTTGCAGAATCAGGATAAGCTGTGCAGCATGTCTTGAGCTTGAGTCAGTACCCCATTGATGAAAGTGTTAAAGGAACTGTGCAGTTTATTACACTATCCATCCCACTCAATCAAACTTTTGTGGAGGATTCAAGTCTGTCAAGTAGGAACTAGAATTCTCGTAGTTTTCCTGTTTGTTTTAAGTTTGAATTCATGTGTAGTCTTCTCACAGTACCGCCGTACTGGTACTGTAGTTCTGAAAGTTTTTAAAACAGTGTCACGTTTTTGTTGTGCAACTTTCTTCACTATTTTTCATCTAGTGACAAGTTTTGCTTTGTGATTCATTAGGTAAATACCACACTAAACTACAATAAAATGGCCTGATATTGCACTTTCCAATGCAGAAAATTTATAGTCTTATTTATTCATTTGTCCCTTTGTGAAAATATAAATTGAGGTGAATTGTGTCGCCAACTTGCTTCAACCATGGCATGCTCCAAATGTGGAATTGTTACATTTGCATGTAAACAGTAAGTCCAGCATTGAAGTTGTCCCAGTGTGAAAATGAAAAAAAAGCGGGGTGAATTTCGCTTTTCTGTGCTTAACATGCAACCTGTGTAGAGCACAATTTGTCCCATCATGAAAATAAAAATTTGGTTTACATGAATTTTGCGCAGTGGAGATTAGTGTATTCAGCTGATCTCAATAGATTCTGTCAGAAATTTGACTTCAACAGATTATCCCCATCAGATAACCTGGCGGAGTTCTATCAAAAACAGAATAAGAGAAGTGTTGATTTTGAATCGAATTTCTCATTTCTTTAAAACGATAACAAATTCACGAGCAAGACGGTGATGTCATGCATTACATGAATGAGGCAGAAGCTTCAGTGTTACAAGCTGGTTCTGCAGCAGATTTCCCCCAAATCTGTTGTTGTTTTTATTCTGTTCGGAGGAAGAATTCAAAACACAAATGTCTCCAGTTAGTTGTATTTGTATCAGTATTTTAAGACAGACCTTCAGATAATCCATAGCTTGTAAATTGTGTCTGAAGTATTCTGGAATAAGCATGGACATCAGTTGTAAAAAATGTGCTCTGCAATTACATCAACCCAACATTCATGGCCATGGGCTTTTCTTCTGGTGTACTGTGCATGAACCTGTCGATGGAGCAAAAACTTAACTTCTTGGTCCCTTTATTTAATGAGGTTACCCTACAGTGCATGGACCATTGAAGAAGTTAAATTGGCCAGGGCTGGGGGGTGACGTGTTGGGAGGGGGTCACCCTGTCTCTTCTGAATAGGGGAGACGGATTAGGGGTGAGACGCAGCAGAGATGCTTGAATGGTTGTTCAAGGAGGGTGTAGTAGCGGCAATTAGTCTAGATCTAGGGGGGTGATGACTTTGCCGAAATGTGGTAGAGGCCCAGTGAGTATGCATGTGTCTGTGTGTGTTGATCGTGGAATGTCGCTGATGTGCAGCTGACAGGAAGAAAGACCAGAAATGAGGGACTCTGCTGGGAATTACTGAGCGATGAGCAGAGTTGGGGAGTATCCGTCAGGGATGGAAACGCAGCTCTTGAGTGAGCGGAGCATTACGTCGAGATAAACTGGAGTGACGCAAGTGGGGCAGCAAGGATACTAATGATGGATAATTTGGATGCCGTACATTGTACATACATGCAGTGTTGCAGCCAAGGCCATACCGTGGGGGAGATTTTTATTTTGAAATTTGGATTGTAATATGAGGCTTTCCTGTGCCCCTACCCTAAACAACATAGACACGTACATACATATATTTGGAAGACTGTCGCTTGTCTTCAGATGCATGTTATGAAGGAAAGTGGGGATAAATGAGAAAAATTATGTTTTAGTTGAGGACGCGGATCCAAGAGTCTTCATATGTGGCAAATGCATTCAAAGCCAGTGGAAACTGTTGACAAAATGTTGAATCATGAACTTAAGAACAATATGGAATCCTTAATTTACACCGTGAACAAATGTGTGTGCAGTGGTTGGCGCTGGGCTTTGTTATCGTGGTGCTTGTATTTATGAAGACATTTTGAATTTCCATTTTTAACTTTGTCTACTTCTTTGTGGAATTATGCGCTCTTTATTTGGAACTTATGCAGTATTACGTCTTCTTTACAGAGGACTTCTTGTTTTTGAAGTGCTATGCTTGCATGCGGTGTACTGTTTATTACGGCCATTCATCACTTAGTACCACTCACTGGCAGCTAATAATGAGCTCTTCCTTGAGAATGTCCAAGGTCACTTGTGTGTATCTTAGATAAAAAGGATTGTTTTCGCTCAAGGCAACCATTGACTGTTCTGTAGAAGTGTGAAGTGGCTGGCAGTCCAGGCAGAATCCAATTAACAAGTGCATGTAATTGGACACCGGTAGCAGTTCACCAAAAGGTTATGATCAGAACACAAATTGTTGAACAGCTTTGCTGATCAGCAAGCCGATACTGTACGGGTACATGTAGTTCTACTATGAACATTTACTTTAATGCACAAATTTATCATTTGATTTGTGCTTAGTACTTCAGTAGTGCTACTCTCGCTTGTTAATTTGAGTCTAAAGAGGTGTATACATGTTGCATTGACCCCAGGTTGTCAACTTGTTAATAATGAAGGCACAGTTGAAGCAACCAAACGGAGCATGAATATTAATCACTTATGCAAATTAAGTGTGGCAAGTGACTCTGATTGGACAGAAGTGGGTTGGCTTGGCTCAAGCCACATTGGGTTGTTTCATGGAATGCAGTGCTTCACACATTGAAGATAAGGTATTCATTCTTTTGTGTTTCATGCAGATATAGTAACAAGAAGCCTAAGAACATGTGTGCATCCTGACCTGTGACTGAGCATGAAACTTTAGATGGACCAAGTTTGACGACACCTGTTGATACTCTGTGTGCACATTAGGTGAGTAACAAAAATGTAATTTGCAAGGATGAGCCAAGAAATTACATGTACACCTGGTGAAGATTGGAAGCTGAGCTGGTAGAGTGCTGGCATGGTATCCCAGAGGCCACAGGTTGAAATCTTAATTAAGTCAATTTTTTCTGTTCATTGTCATTGCTATGATCATCATGAGCACCAAGTCTGTTTCCTTGTGGCTTATTGAACAAAAATTTTCTTTCCTTTTATTTTAATTCACAGCACTGGTATATGTTTGGTTTGTTAAAAACGTAAATTATTTGTAGTAGAAATATTTTGTTTCACTGGATAGAAAATGTGATATACTCAAGAATGATCAATCAGTTATTCCATAGGCTGAAAAATTAGCACTTGCTGTTGTATTTTTTAATGAAAATTAATTTCTTAAATTAAGAGCACATTTCATTTTGCCCAAAATCATTTAAACATTCAAAGTTGCTCGCTAATTTTTAGAAACATTTTACAAGTATTACATGTACTTTGTTGTGACAACATTGTATTATAAATGCATATTTATGGACGGCCCGCTGAGATCTTTGAGCATACCTTAACCCTAACTCCGAATGGTGTATGTAAAATCGTATTGAAATTGGAGGATTTGGGACTGTTAGGGTTAATCAAAAACCTTTCAGACTAATTTAATTCCCATTTTCTAAACTTATTATTTCTGATAAAAGACAGATTTTCAGATAATCATGTTCAAGGTATTTTTAAGTTTGTATGCTCTTGTTTCTCTGGAGTTCCTTGATATAGATTGTGGCCTGCAAAACGGTATTGCAGAGTTTGAACAAAAAATCCCTGTAATTCATTATACTCTCTTTTTGGTCAGATACATGTAGAAATATTCCCTTCCCCTGACAATTTTGAATTGAACTTTGATTCCAATCTGAAGCTCACTTCCGACAATTTCATAAAATGTGATATCTCATTTTAGGTCCCATTAACTCATTAACTGTCAACTTTGAGTATACTTGTAGGAAGTGAAAGGCTATTGTGATGTAAATTGAATACACTGGCATCACCAAAGGACACAACAAATACGCTGCTGGTAATACTGAGGACATACATGTATATATGTAAAATGCTCACGTTCAAATAGACACCTGAAAGGAACCTATTAAATAAGCATTCATGCGTACAACGCTTCGCAAATGAGAATGCCCCGTTGAAATTGTGCACAGCCGTCAATATGTTAAATTGTGTGAGTATGCTTTAATTTTTCATGTTTGCACTTGCTGTAAGTTTGATTCTTATCTTGTCATTAATTGCAGCAATTCATAAGAAATCTTCCTAGTGAGGTAACAGCCAGATACAGATAAACATCAGTGATGGCATCGTCAGAAAAGAGGTTCCTGAAAGTTGTATTGTTGGTTGTTTGCATCGGGGTCGGTCATGCTGAAATTGGTAAGATTTCATTGATTGTGGGTTTCCTATTAGTAGGAAGCCTGACGGCCAGTAAACTCAGCTTCTTCTTAAACCAACATGCCCATGATTCATTAGAAATTGGTTGCAGCTTTATGCCCTAAATATTTAAGCCTAAAACACCCAGGGATTACACGGATCTACAGGCATTAAAAAAGGGAAACAGATTGGTGCATTGATAAAGGTGGGATCAATGAGCTTCTCGTAGATCCCTGAGAGTTAACACATATCCTCAGGAGTCTGGGAACTGGTCAACCCCAGAGGAAATATTTTAACTTCATTTAGCTGATGCCAGCTGTCGTTCACAGTTTGCCAGCTATATTGTACCCCCTGCATTTTTTTTCAAGAGGGAGTTCATTAGCCTATTATTAGTTTATTAGCCTATCATATCTGTGCTTTCATGTCATCCAATTACACAGTTCCTCTCATAATTTCGTTATTGTGTGTGATGCTGTTAACAGACAATTGTGACCAAAATGCTCAATTGGGCAGTGAAATTCTTGAAAAAAAGAGTCCAAGCGTTCACTGAATTTGGAGGATTTATTTCAAGAATTTTTTTCATAATGATGTTGTTCTCTTCTGCAATTCAAAAATCATTTCCACCCAGAAATACATGTAATAAGGTCAATTTCTGAGTACATCCAAATGAACTGCAGTGCATGTTTGAAGTCAGTAAGAAAAACTGTGGAAATGAAATTGTTAAAGTAGTAATTCAAGTTTCATGTACCGCATGAATGTAAAAATGAAAGCATCATTGATTTTCTAATGAAAATGTCATTCTGGCGTACAGTTTGGTCTCCTCTGCATTGTCTAGGTTATGTTTTGAAATTATAAAGGAAAAGTTCTTTCCGAAAGCCGACTCCAAGAATTCCAGCCTTGCTTGGCCACGAACGCCACCTGCCAAACAGCAAATTCTCGGTTTGTGGCCCAGCGTGCCCAGCATGCTTTGAATTACACGGTGAAAAGGATGATTGTTCGGTGGCATACGGCTCTACTCAAGCTTCCACATTCCCGTTGCCTCTTTTCAAAGTGGGGACTATTGTGAAGCTGGTGATTATGATGCGAATTCGGTCTTTTCATTTCTGGGCTACACACAAAGACCAATTACCATATACACAAGAGCCAGGGTCTGCCTTCTTTCACCGTGTTTGCTCGAGCGTGGGCCGAGAACAATAACTGAAAAGCGGGCTGAGGATCTCAATTTTTATGGCGTGTCTTAACGCATCCCGGCGTGAAGGGGTTAAAGACAGACCACTGGAAATTTCCAACTGACAGTTTTGAAGGTAGTGTCAAAGACAAGTTCAGAACATGAGCTTCTCACAAACTCGCACAAAAGTCAATTTCCCCATAGTAGAGTTGCACGTACATGCATATTCTGACAACAAACATCTTACTAAAGAGGAATCACTGTTCAGTACACCGATACAGGGTTCAGGTAGTTAGGAAGTTCCCTCCCTTTTTGCAAGGTATTTTTTTACGAGCTCACCAAGCAACAAAACAAGCAGAGTTTATCCAGTCTGTAACAGTCTGTTTTTGCATATGTCTTTGTCGACTTATCCGAGGAAGCACCATTACTGCCATGCCATGTACCTGTATCACATTAAAGGGCAGTCTCATGAATTCCTTAATTGGAACTTGCACTTTGCGAAATCACATCTCACTGGTTGCAATGGAATTTACTGAAATGTGCATGTGAAGAACCTTTGTGAGCATGGGAACATCACAGTAATGTAACCTGATATACATGTAGCAGCTTCTCGTTTTGTAGCTGTGAACAAAAGAATAATCTCATTAATATTTTGTGTCCCAGTTGTGGAATTGGTCATCGGCTAATTTTTTACTGGCTTCCATGCATGCAGCAATGCTTCTGCAGTTGGGTGTTGCCCAAAGACTAACTCTGTCCTCGATTGGTGAGATCTTGACAGAGTTGAAGCTGCTTGTCTTTAAATTGTAAACATTTAAAAATGTTGACAAATGAACCATGAGGGGGAACGTGCACTCTTTTCGTATGAGCAAAGAAAATTAGCCAAATTGGCTTTGAACCTGCAAATGAAAAAAACAAGTGAGTTTTTCATTCAGCGTTCAGTTGACAGAGAAGTAGGCTCTGTATTTTTGCTCAGCGAGTACAGGGTCATTGACAGCAGAAGTGGTTCCTCCCACTTTTGGGGGGGGTCACAGCCCCCCCCCCTTTTGCAGGTCCTATAATGGGACAAGGCTTAATGGATCAGCCTTTTAATGGCTGATAACTGATAGTCTCACATCTGGCCCCCCACTTTGAAAATTCTTCTGCGGCAGTTGTACAGGGTACCAACAATTTTTTTCTCTACTGAGGGGATATTGTACACTGATATTTATGGTTGGCAAGAAGTATGATGGATTAACGTCCCGTCCCAGGAGAATAGAATGCACATATACCCAATGGCTTTGTAAGGAACTGGAGATCAGCAGCACCCTGATGGGACATGTTAACCTGGACAAACATTTTCTTTACCTGAGCAGTATCAGATGTAAGCATTGATGTACCTACATATATTAAAGTGAAACCACATTGAAAGTGAAACTAATTACTAAAAAACTGAGCTACAGCCATCTACTTGGTGCATATTATGAGGAAGTGAAATGCACAAAACCACATTCCAATTTACTTTCTCTGTATTGTCTTTTATGTCATGTTCAGAGGGTCATTTCATGAGGTTGGGGCACAATTTGTGATGGTGTCCTTGTAACATGGGTAACTTTTACCACCTGTCATAACCTGTATATGTAGAGTAGGTCATTTACTTTGTAAAAAATAACACACACGTCTGTATTCAGCCTTGCAAGATGTATAAATTGGAATCCACATGCAGAGAAATAGCTGTTCATTTTTATGGAACCCACGTAACGATGGACACCATCACAAAGTGTGCCCCAACCCCATGGAATAACCCACGAGTGCACATGAAGCTACTTACGTGTATGCTTAAGTAGAGCCTGCAACGTTTAATTGAGTTTAGTACAGTGTATGCAAAGTTCATGCACAATACACGTATGTACATGTAGCTCATGTTGGGGGTACATCCATGCATCATGCAGTTTTAGAATCTGTCGTGAATGCAGAGGAGGAGTCTCACACACCCTCCCATCTAGAACCTGTTATGGGAGATACCTTTCCCGTTACCCCGTTTTATGCTCTGAACTGGTTATTTAATGCCTTTGAAGACAGAATTATCATTGAAAATAAATGCTCTGCTCATGTACCTTCAACAAATACATGGGGCCCGTTTGTTTTACACGGATCTGGATCGCGATTGGTGATCCCAGAGCTGATTCGCGCTATGTACATGTATTAGGCAGGATCTGGTGTCAACGAACCAATGACAGATCACTGATCGCAATCCAGATATGCATGAAACAAACAAGCCGCTGGTGCCTCCCTTTTTGTAAATGTTGGATCCACCACGCAATAGGGTCTGCCTTTTTGATGTCACAGTCGTGTTTTTCCACAAGTGGTTGCTAAAACTATGGTTGGCCATCAGTACAAAAGTAAAAGAATAATTAACAAAGTGTTTAAAATCCCATGCAGCTATCAGAACACCAGATACTAATATACCTGCTACTAAATACCAAATGAAACTACAACCCTATCTAAAATCAATGAGACAAATGTCCATTTTGAAGGAAGTGGAGGTAAAATATATAAAAGAACAACCAAAGGGGATATTTCTGCTAACTTTGGCTGCCCATACAAGCTGTAGGCAAAATGAAAGTGGTAGATCCCAGCTCCTCTGTCTTGTACCAATTTTACATGTGTAATGTGTCTCTAACATGCATTGTGTCATTTTGTGAGAGCTTGCCTTAAGTGAATTAAAATAAACCAAAAATCTAAGCCAATAAGAAAAACAAAACAACTGAAATAAAATGAAGATAGGAAACAAAATTAGAATAATATAGAAATACATGTATATCCAGAATCGTCTTGGTAACCATCAGGTTATATTGCTTTCACAATGAAACAGTCTTCCGTGCAAAAGCTGACACGCAGTTATTCTCCCCTCCCCAATTCTGCCTCACTTGCCCCTCCCACATGTCTTGCCACAGTGCCTGTCGGGTGTCCATATTTTTCAGTAGGGATGTGTTGAATGCAGTAGAGTTGCAACGTGTTCATCATTGTAACTCGTGTCGGGGCACATCGTGGTGGTGTGCGAAATGGCTTCCTCACTGATAAGGGACCCAAGCAGGCAGTGCTGCATGCCTTTTATCACCTACCTCCTGCCAACGTCGCTCGGAGACACAGGCCAGCCTCATGAGGATGTCAACGCAGAAGAGGTTGTGGGTGTTGAAGCAGGACTGGCGTCACGTTTGATGGGGTCAGTGGCCAAGGTGGTGACGGATAAAGAAGGATGGTGCTTGATTGGCAAGCGGACACCTGTTAGTCCGTGGGGACAACCCTGCCAAATATGGCATGGGTTCATCCTGCTTTGTAAATAAAGATAATTGCCAACATCTTTGCTTTGAACAAGATACAGTCTATGCAAGCTATTTGAAAAAGTCTGATGGTACATTGATGAACTTTCTATTAGGTCAGTACTGCTGATGATCATACATTAATTCTGATTTTATGACAGTTGGCGTATTTTGTATAAAATAGCCCAAGCCAGTCAAACCTCATTTCTGGGTAGGAGATTCAGAACTTTTTACATGAGTAACTGCAGTCAAATGACAGACGTTACCGTGTAAACTTAATTCTGCAGTCTAATTTTGTATGTTTGGCCGAGGGACTAAATTGTGAAGCCTATCCTGAGTCTTCATCAAAGGCATGTAGCATATTCATGTGCACATCTCGTGCTTTAATTTTTCTCATACATGTGTGTTTACATACACAAAATGTTTGGCACTGTAGTGAGTTAAATTTGATCGTTTGGACAGAGAGGCCTTTCTGATATGATCATATTGGTCAGGAGCAGAAACCCAATACGTACATGTATGTTGGCCGAGAGGGATTCGAACCTTGGTCCCAGAGTTAGCAGGGGAGGACAGTACCATCACTGCCAGCTTCATTCCCTCACTTGCCAATGCAAAAATAGATCGCAGTATTGACAATATCCGGCAGACAAAACAAATGTATAGTTGGAAGTAGAATTTAGTTTCCCAGTGCTTATTTGAGAGCATGTTACAGTATGGGATACATGATGTGACTGGGTTTTACTGATTCCTCAATGTTTTATATTCACTGAGCTTAAATATAAAAAAAATGGTATTACAAGGTTACAGTAGCTTCTTATTGATATGGGGGTAGGGCGACATAAAAATACACATACATGTGATCCCTTTCTCCATTTTTCCCAACAACCACTTATTGGATGTTTCGAGAAGAGAAACTACATTTCACAACCTTGATCCCATCACATAAATCAGCTTTCGATCTAGTTTGTGGCAACTTGTTATGTGGGCATTCTTAATAAATGTTGACACGGACTTTCAGACCAAGGCTAGCTGAAAATCCTGGGTGTCTGGTGCTGGATTTAGCCACTGACCCCCACTGTTCGGACCGATTTCCTGCATCAGTTGTTCAGTGCGGTCATCATCAATGCCAACAGATTGCCCAACAATGTTGCCGGAAGGCGCCTGTCTTTCTGTCAAGTCATGTGCTGTCAATCCTGCAACTGACCAGTGCAATTCATTAGATGTGAATGTCAGCTGAGAGATATTCCAGTACAAAACAAAACAGGAAATGTACAGTTTTCCTCTGATTTTATTTTAAATGAAAATTTTCCTTCAGTACGGAAACATGCTTAGAGAAGTAGAAAATATAAAATTTGATTGAAGCATTATGTTTGGAAATTGAAAACAATGATGTCTTTTGGTTGGAATTTAGGGAATTCTCTGTCTTTATCAATTTTGTACAGATGACTAATGCCAATTAATTAACAAACTGCATGTACATATACATTCCTAATTATTTGTAAATTAAAGTGAAACACTGTGTATCTTTTACCAGTGCCGTACATGTAGAAAGCAACCATAACATCAGACTTGTGTTAAACAAATCCAGATCAGTCAACCAACTGACCTTTCTTGATCAGTGAACACTTCAGACTGACCTACATCTTGATCAGTGGACACTTCAAACTGACCTATCTTGTGCACTAAAACTATGCACAATATAAAACTTTGAGGTACAGTGTACATTGATGTCAAAGCAATCATGCACCACTTTGTGCACAGAGACATCAATGACATAGACCTCTGTACTGAAGAGGTTACATTACATGTACATGTATGTTTACGGATGTGCTTTCCTGTGGTGCTTTGTGGACGGTGGTCATCCACCGGCATCATTGGAAAGTGCACACAAGACAAAGTGTGACATCACCAATACTTATGTCACACAGTGCTTTCAACTAATTTAACATACATGTACATTTTACATTATTCCCTCAGTATCATGTGCTACATATACTGTATACATCTTGGCACTTATGACATCTTGCAAAACTTGGAATGAATAATTCACTTTTTAGCCATACAGGTGGCTGACACACCACTCCCAATAGGTGGCGCTCTCTGCCCCGTGCTGATATTGTGGCTTTGAGATATTCCCCCCCTGGAATTAATCCAGCTGTGTTCCTCTTCCTCTCAAATTGTTTGCAAACACAACTAGGTCATGCCAATCACAACCCCCTCCCCCAACATCTCATATTACTCATGTGCCAAATCTTGTTACATTCACACAGATAAGAGTGCATTTTTGGGGAGGATGGTGTATCTCATGATCTCCAGGAAAATTAATGCTAGTTCCTGCCCCTAGTGCTATCTGGGTGAGCCAGCATCCGAAAAAGAAGAAGATAAGAGTGTGTGATGTGTACAGCAGCACACTTGCCCAAACTGAAAATGTCAGAAATTCCACAGCCGTTTCAACCCGAAAGGTTGCGGTGATTCATAGGGCAGGCATGGGGACGAAACGCTTTTTAGCATTGACGGTTCAGTTCTGCTTGAACTGCCACGGTCTTCACGGGGCGAGTTCAGAGTTGTGGTGAGGTTCAAAATGAACCCTTCCTTAGTTGGCCCAAAACAAGTCCAGGGTTTAAGATTTTATTGCCAGGTGTGCTTTAAAGACAGAACGTGTCAGAATTGCACAGGTTTCCCTTTTCTGGTCAGTTGTAACAGACTCCCCATCAACTATGGGACTCATTTTCCAACTGTTTCCATCTGGACAATAGAATTTGAATGTACCAGTACCATAAAAGGATTTCGTTTTTTCATGGTTTGGCTTACAACTTTAGGGAAAAGTTAAACAAAACTTAGAAATATAAATACCTACCTGGTGTCCTTGCCAACCAGAACACATTTTTGTGTGTTTTAGGGAGTTTGGGAAGTATGATATATCAAGGAATTGTAAGATCTGAATGAAAAGTCAGAGAAGTTTATTTGAAGCTTCAAAGTATGCATGTTTGGTTGGGCTGATTTATAAACGCTTCACCATCTGGTACATGACATTGCTTTAACCACTTGGTGCCGGTGCTTCCGGTACCGGGTACCTTGGGTTTGTACATACATTAGCTTGGGTGCCCGAAATCAGACAAAGGAGCTTGGCCTTGTAACAAAAGACCGTATTCGGAACACAAGACTGAGCTGCTGGGAATTGCTATCATTTTTTGGCTGGCATTAGTGGAGGTAATCTGTCATTGTTTCGAAACAATATATCACTGTTTGCGGCATTCAGTGCCCGCGGATTATCAGCAGGGACAAAAGTGCTCCAGCTCTCCGGCAATGAGCGATACGGTACTGCTGCATGCTAATGTGGCTGCATTTGAAAAGACACCATTGCCATTCAGCAACACGCTGGGCCAGTTTTGGGAACTAAGACAATTACGCAACACCACACAATCTTGTCTCTCTTTACTGGGCGGCAGGCCTGGCTGCAATACTCAGGTGTCAATGGAGAATACCTGCTAGATCAGAGTAGCCACCAGACAGTCATTCATGTGGGTGTAAACATCCAGTAAATGAAGTTACAAATTGTTGAAGAATTTTGAAAACGGAAAGTCAATGCCAGCCTGGGAACTGATCCTGCATATGCAAATGCCACCCGGCAGGAAGCTGTTAATAGTTATATGGATGTATTGGTTTTTGGAATGCTGTTACTAATAGGTGGGGGTTCCAGCACTTGCTTCAGGACTGGTCTCCTTCAGACAGGAGTACCATGCAAAAAGACATTACTCAAAAACCAGAATGGATGAATAATCTGTTAAGATGTCAGTGTGTAGTTTGAATAATTATTTCATTAAAGGATGGGCATTGTACACTTTTTCCATGTCGGAGCAGATCTTATCTCTGATTTTCAGTGGAAGTAAGTTTAGAAGTGAAGTCAGATGCCATCTTCAGTTTTACTATTTAATATTGAAGATAGATGGTTGATAATGATAGTTGATCAATCCATTCTCCATTTAACTGTGATTATATCATTCCATCCCCCATTTAGGCACTGTTCATATAGAATTTATACTTTTATTTAATGATACTAAACTGAATGAACAGATTATTCTAGATTGTACACTGTAAGTTGTACAGTTACATGTAGGTAATTGCATTGGGAATATCTTTTTATAATTATATTGCTTTTGAGTATAAATACAAAGCTTATTTGAGCATGTTCTAAAAATGAGTTGTTCATCGTTGATAAGGCAATCTTAATTTTTCTGCAGTGTTTCAGGAGGAGCCGCAAGACACAGTAGTTGCCCTGGGCCAGGCAGTGCGATTTCACTGCATGGCTGTCGATCTGCGGCCTGGGACTATCACTATTCAGTGGAAACACAACAATGCCCCCATGAGTGCCGGAGGACGGGTGGCCGTCTACCCCAACGGAACCCTTCACGTGTCTCCGACACAGAGTGGTGATGAGGGAACATACTCCTGCATCGCTAGCCTGACATCATCTGGGGGATTTGTCGACCAGAAGGAGAGCGTGGCAGCCATGCTCTATTTTGCATGTAAGTTTAAAAGGGCAAAGAGACTCTTACAAGAAAAATGTAAAGTACAAGAGACATTTGTCAGTGTTCATACAATTGTCATGCAATGTATGTATTGTTTGCAAATGGTTCTTACTCGATAGTTGTCGAGCAATTAAAAAAGATATAGATGGTTAGATCAGGGTCCAGTTTCACAACCCTGCTTAACCGCCAGTTTGCACTGAGACATCTATTTCATGGAGACCAGCAAAACAGCACAACAAAAGCAAGTTAGCCTCCAAGGAAACTGTTGATTATATCAGTGATGCAAGAATACACAGACACCCCAGTGCAAGCCCAAGAGTCAGCACAGCAATGCCACTAGTGCTTATAGCTGCATTACAGTTAACTGTACAGTAAATACAACATTTCTGCTAAGCTATGAAAGCAGTGCCACAAAATTGGTGCCGGATGCTAACCCTGTCATTATTGTACTATGTCTCTGAAAGTTTTTGCCACGTCAAAAGCATTTCTATTGAAGCTGTCTGTTAGCAGCTGCAGCCCTCTACTGTAGACTGACATTCATCTACATGTATGTACATGTACATGAGGTCAGCGTGGATACAGTAAACTTCAGGAGCAATCATACTGGACGCATCCTTAACTGCCTGATTTGGCTCAGGACCTGGTCTGAATTTGTACAATTCATAAATTATAAATTTGACAGGAAGGCTGTCGTATACTGTAGTTTCAGAAGCTTTCTAGGTTAAAATCTGTCACCAATACGAATTGTTAGACTGATTTTTGAACAGTTCACACCCTCAAACATGGATTTAGAGGCAGAAGGTAACTGCTCAAGTTCGAAACACTCTCCTGGGAAATGCTGACAAGTGTGCTCCATATCACATGTGCTAACTTTTAAGTCACAAGCCCTGACGTAGTTCTCAAAATTTCACCCATTTTAGTAAAAAGTTTTAGTCCACACATCTCCTGCTCCTCTTTTCCTTCCCCAATCTCTTGTTCCAATATCGTGTCTGAGACCCAAATAAGGTTATCTGATTTCCTGCCAGCGGCTTTGGGTGCACGGCCCAATTGTGGGCCCCACCAAACCGTGTCGTGCAAATCCACAGTCTACTTACAGCCGCAGCCAGGCGTAGAGAGAAAAATCACAGAAATTTTACTCTGAGGCAAGGTACGTGGGGGGGGGAAGAAATGTGACAGGGGCTAGAGGGAGACTAGCCCCTTCCCTCTAGATGGGAGCGTGCATATGACGGTAAATTTCCCAACCAAAGTGAATAGTTGGTTGCACAATGCCAAAGGCAAAACTGTGGATTGACTGCAGAATTAGACTGTACAATGAAAATGGAATTTCTAGCCACATCAAGATAATGAACTTTTGGGTAGTTCAGTCCCTGTTGAGACTTGCGTGACCCATTGGCTTGTGTAATCTCAAAAGGCTCAGCAAAACTGACATAAGCTTAAGCCAAGCTGTAAAAAGGATTGTAGCTATAAAGTTGTCAGAGTCACTTGATCCACAGTTGCTACCTCATTGGCCAGCGTGCACTGTTTGCTTGGCAGGCTGGATGAATATTGTAGTTGATTGCTTGGAAGTTTGCTGGTTGTACAGTGGATCATGTCAGATGAGTGAAACTTTTAAATCCTTTTTAATGTGAGTCAGGCATTTCAGTGTACATGTACAACATGTACATACATGTATGGATGGCAACTGTTTTCAATCAATGAACCCCAGCTGTCCTGGTCAGTAAATTGTGTACTCTGATGCAGCGACTAATTCATCAAGATTCGTCAATATTTTCAATTCTGTTAGTCACAGCTGTTAAGTTTCTGTAAAGTAGTATCCAGCTGTAAAGCTTTGAAATCAGCTATACATTAAAAAGGATATGAAACCCTTGAAAAACTGGCCAGTGTGAAAGAAAGTGAAAAATTGAACACATTTTTAACTGTGGAGCATATGCTGTCGAGGAGCACGCAAACATAATGCCATCTCATGCAAATGTAGCCGAGTTGTGATCAGTTCTCAGAAATGGATTGCATGCAAGTCACCATGTACCATTCCATTAACAGAACTCGTCACTCTAGTTTAGCCTCACTCGATTGAAGTTGGAATTTCTTTGCTCCAACTAATGATGTTTGAATCTCAGCAGTGTTTTATACATGTTTGTACCACCCTGCTTGCAGCTGAGAATGAAGGTTCTCTTGGCTACAACCTAGGGCAAGTTTAAGCGACAGCAATAGTTAACAATATACCTGTAGTACGTTCGACTAACACCGACCGAGCAATGGATGGTTGGGACTATCTAGTTGACCATTTTGGACCAGGCTCAGGGGTATGGTCGCACCGCTGGATACCAATAGCTGATTTCATTTATCATTACAGAGGGAACCATTCACATGAAAATAACTGTATGAGTTTTCAGTGTCCATGTACGCTGCGAGAATCGCAGTCAGTGGTCAAATGTGAGCAAGTTGACCAACGAGAGTTGTTAGACTGTAACTGATTTGTGCATGTACATTGTTAAAAAGCAATCGACTACTGGCCAAACTGTAGTTTGTGCTCGAGCCTGCTCCTTCGTGTATACAGCTTTACTAGAATTTTGGTCACATACATGTACACTCCAGAATTGTGAAGGACAAGACATCTTAATACATGTTTGTGTTAAAAAAGCCCACAATTAGAAGACTCTTGTACTTCTACTTGCTTGACCGTATCACCCGGGATCATTACAAAAAATTCCCTGTGGTGTCCATATAAAGACTAGAGAGCAGTATATGTACAAGTATGCCAAAGATGTAACCTTCAATTGAAAGATTGATTGACAATCTGGAAAACAAATTTATCACAGTGATTGGAAAGTCCGTTCCAAGCTTGGGGTCTCTACTTACCTCCTTCTCCCACCCCTAACCCTCAGGTAAGGTCTTTTAGGTGTTTCGGAAGTGGTACTAAAGGTGAGAGGAAAAAGGGCAAATCCTGCCATCCCACAGGCTGGCTACAGGATATTTCCTTCAGGCTGCCAATCAGTGGCGTAAGGGGGTCAGCCGAGAAGCTCCCAACCTGCCCCAGGGGATGCAGAATTTAAAAGTTAGCTAAAAAAAATTAGGATTACCTGAAGTACAGGCATTCAGAACAAATTGTTGTTGATGGAGAAAAATTATCCGTTTGGGATTAACAGGCTTCTACTGGGGTGCTGAGCATGTGTACAGTTGATAAGCCTACGACTGTGGGTAAAGATTGTGAATCAGTCTTTTACGATCACGACTGAACCTCGTGCTCACTGATATTACAGTAATATTATACAGGCAGCTATCCTGTTGAAAAACTACAACCCCGTGCAGAGTAAGCTGAAATACTATACATGTACATGAACATGGTTGTATGTGAACTTTATTTATGAGCCCATTCAGGGGCATGGTTTATATGACCATAGATGAAGCCAATGTTCACCAAAATATTCAACCAGTGACCAACCACCAAAACTGTTACTTGTTTTTAGCAACAAGTGCCAAAATTCCTCCGTAGATCACCTGAAACAGTGATACCTACATGTACACGTATACTGCCAAAAAAATCTTGGCTAGCTCCAAGTTGAGTTTCATGCCCCGAAGCTGGCAGCATCAATGAGATATTTCCTTCGTATGCCAACAAGTCCCACTCACTAGTTCTGTGATTTTCAGCCAAGCGCAGCTGTAGCGTAGGATACCGTCATTAAACGGTCTTGCACTGTATGTCGTCACTGTGGCCTTAAAACCAACCACCCGTGGTGTTTATGCATCTGTGTGTCTGCCCTGCTGTGTGTTTTCTTCATAAAATCGAGACTTGCTGTAGTTCATAAAACCCTCCCAGCTTCCCATTGTGTCTGATGTTCTTTGCAGCGTGGCATACATGCATATTTCCATAGTTAATGAAGAAGATAAATCAACAGAATTGCACAGTTGCACTCTGTGGAAGTAAGATGGAGACGTTTATCCTTTGATTTAATATACTCAAGGGGTTCCTGATAGATGCATTTGCTATTTCCAATGTAGTTTACAAGATCAACAGGTTCTCAAGATGTTGACCAAAACCGAAATGGCAAACGCTAAGGTTATTAAGATAGTTCACACCTAGGTTTCTGTAGAAGTAGAGGTTATCTCAAGAAGAAGGGAAGCATTTCCTCACTATAAAGTCCCACCAAACTACAAGAAAAGCTGAAGTGCAGAGACTTTCCATGGGCCACTTTCATGGTGCACTAAAATAACTTTCTATTTATACCTGGAACGTTCTTCTCTTCAACAGAAATCTCAAGAACTGGAAAAGTACATGTATAGGAGCTCAACAAATACATGTAGCATGCAAACTTAAGAACCAAGACGTGCCCACTGAGCAGTGAAACAGCACTTGACACATATGCACCTGTATGTAGGAACGCATGTTGGAATTGTCTTGGTTTTGAAATGGTGCAAGGGCTGTTAATGTTAAAGCTTTGGCATGCTACTAACCTGTGCACTGATGAAGGCTTTTAAAACAAATAGGCACCAGTAGTCAGTGTAAAGAACTCTTAATTCCACACTTTAATAATCAAAAGTACCGATTTTCACTTACTGAAAGAGTCAAATCTGGAGCTGTTTTACTTTTACATGTAAGTTCAAATGAGGGAAGATTTTTCAGTTCAAAGTCACAGGTATATCCCCCTTCCTCTGCCATGTCTGCTGTAGACTCCACCTGTCCCTTCTGAGGTTCTTTCTACCCAAATCCCTGGTTATTACAGGGAAGCTCAAAATTTGCATGTGTGTTTCTCCACAGTATTCTCATAAATTGTTTACATTCGGCCTGTCCTGAAAGCTTCCTGTCTCAGTCATCCTCAGAGAGGCACCATGCTGAACGGAAAAGCTTCCTCTTTTAATCTTCCCTGTGGGCAAATATTGTGTTGATTAATTTGGCACAGCTGGGATGATTTCGATGTCTTCTGTGACATGGGACACCTGTGGATTGGGACTTCTTCACTCAAGTCAGTAGAGATGGACCCAAGTGCAGTTGTCCCTAATCTTCAGGTTCATCCCGGGATGTTTTCTTTCATTTGACAGAGACCAGTGCCATGGAAGATTGTTGTATACATGTATGTTGCAAGTGTGGTTTGTTCTTGTCATTTCCTGCCAAATTGTGCACTGATTTAGCTCCGAAAAGGGGGATGTGCCAACTGTGAGGTGGGAAGGAGCGCAGATAGACGAGGAAGTAGCATGTACTTCTAATCACGGCTAAGCTGTCATGGAACTGGCCATGGGAATGGGAACTCTTGGCAGTGCCGAATTTTTATTATTTTTTCGTAACTTCAGTTGAAAGCATTGTCGTGTGGTATAAAAACATAAAAAAATTGTAAGCCCTCAAGCTCTGTAGATGTCAGAACGGTAAATCTTTTAACTTTACATTACTGCTTTAAGCTGCCTCCCCCAGTATCAAAACAGAACATGTTGGTGTGACATCATAAGACCATGCACATGTCTGGTGTGCTAAATTGTATACATCCGCATGAGAAACCTCTCTGACCAAGAAATTGCCAGTTTCATTTCAAACTGAGGTGTAGAAATGAAACTGGAGCATTGGCAAGGTCAGGTCTGGGCATGAATTAGTTCCAGGTTATACGGAAATGGAGCGATGAGCGAAATAACCTATTTTTGAGTTTCTGGCCCGTTCAACCTCCCTAGTTGGTCACGTATATGCACTGTATTTCACCTGTCCGGCACAGGTGAGTTCCTATGACAACAGATGGGGAAATGTCGTTAATGGCGACAATCCTGTTTTGATAATTGATTGGCCTTAACTAGGACCAGCTGACCTCTCATTATATCAGACATTGCCCAGGTGGGCACAATTATCCTTGTCTTGTACTGTGATCGTAGATACCTGTAATTGAGGAAAAGTTCTCTGGGAACCATGCTAACAATCAGAGTCATTGTTTATTGCATCTGTGTGGAAGTGGCCACAATTGCCAGGGTCCAGTGTTTCTGATTGGTGGAAACCACTGCCAGGCAACAATATACTGTATGTGCTAAGAAAAATAAACTGAGAACCAGTTGTAACCGAGATACAATGCATGTCTTGTAGGCTTTTTTTGCACAATGGGGTGATTAAGAGTACAGTGTGCCACCAAGAGATTACCATGAAGAGGCCAGTTTTCAAGCTTACAGTCAACAAAATCATGGCCACCATGTCACAGTTTGCATTTGAATATATGTCAATAGACAGCTTGGGGAAAGTTTTTATAGAATTGGATATCCCATGGAATAGAAAGAAGGGATTTATTAAAACTGCAACTCAAAATACACTTACAAATCTCCTTCCCTGAGGAACAAACACTGAGAACAATTAAAGTTCCCCGTGTACAGCTGGTGAATAGAATTGCCCACAATGCACTACAAAAAATGGCCTTTCTGTAGCATCCTCTTGGTGGCACATTGTATCAAGAATCACCCGTATTTTGTCATCTCAAATTTGCTTATAGACTGTGCTCAAAACAGGCTTCGAGAGCTACATTGTACAGGTGTATGGTTAGGTCCGTTGTCTGCACATCTCTGGTTATTTCCAATGGAGTGAAGACCTAGACCACGTAGACCTGGGTCTGGACAACTGATTCGAATGCAGCCTCAGTCACATAATGCAATGCTGCACCACTTTGTCCAAAAACAAGTCTCCCTCCCAGGGATTCCTAGAAAAACTTGGGAAAGAATCACAGAATGAAACATTTTTTACATGAGTTTTTGGTGGTGTTGGAACTTAGCAGTAGACAATCCTGACTGGCATGCTTCACTTTATATATCTTTGTGACCTTGGGTCACAGCTCAGTAAAGTTTCTCTTTACTAGGGCTGTAGTGGAGTCCATGACTAGTCAAGTCACTTGTCCTTTCAAGAGCCCAGTCGCAAGCCCTGCCATAAGTAGCAGGAGGAACAGTGACACAGGAATGTTTTTGTCACAGCTTACTAATGAAATATCCGGAGACTTGACTTTCAGGCTAGTTCACTTGTGATTATGGCTCGTGATGGACTATTACAGAGAATTGAGATGGAGTTGATCATTTGCCCTATACTGTAATGCATGCACTGTAATCACATTCAAGCACTGAGTGCTATGGGTTTTGCACAGTTAAACTAATGCCCAAGGTTATCTGTAAGCCATGCAAGTATGCCCTTACAGCTAACAAACTTACAGGGGCTGGCAGGCCGTAATGTCTGTGGAACCCATGCTGAACACTACAGATATATGTACTTGTAGGCAGATTATTCATTTTTGGTTGTACTGTGTTCCAGATAGGCAAACAAACATGCACGTATTGCAGATCGTAAATGTTTGCTCCATTGGTTCATGCAGAGAACCCATAAAGAAGGACACATTTACTGTACCAAGAGTGTCTGCTTCTAGGACTAACGTCTTCCCATCAAAACCTTTAAGAAGTCTTTTGAGGCAACTTCTGTCCTGAACTGTACATGTTGAGCATTTATTCTGTAGAGTCAGTATTTTTAGAAACGTGTTACAGACCCTGTAATACAAGTTAGTAAGCCAATTTTTTGGTTCTCTTTTGCCTAGTTCTGAACCCTGTGGATTTCATCACCGGTAATCAGACCGTCATAGACAAGCAGCTTGCGCCAGCTTACTTCCAGTGTGTCTCTGGTGATAGCCGTCCCCTCCCGACCATCACCTGGGAAAAGGAGGGACTACCAGTGATCGATGAACTGTCCTACGGGGAGCAGTTTGGTGGCTTCAATTCCCTGAAGAGGTCCCAAACACTTCAGATAAACAACGTACGCAAGAGGCACGAGGGGCGATATCGCTGTGTGGTGACCAACCGACTTTTAAGTGGGCAGGTTGAAAGAAGTGCATATTCTACACTCACAGTTAATCGTAAGTGCATTGCAAAAGAACTGAAAATCTTAGATTTTGATGCTTACAAATAAATTGAGCTTACCTAAAAATCTGTCATTCAAGAAATAACGTTTAAAATTATAGTGGTGGATCTTTAGACAAATAATGAGAAAGGGCATTTTGGGTCCATTTTATTTCTCATTAAAAGTCCCAAAATGTAAATTCACCAAATGAAATGACCCCAATGGTCATGAAAGATTTATTTAAAAAATTCCTAATTTTGGGCCCCATCCAAAAATGCCAAGTTCCCCCAGAATTTGGTTCTGGAGTTGCCTTTGAGTGGTTTAAACCTTCAGTTTATGCGTGAAAGGTAAGAATATTAAATTAGAAATAGTAACATCCATGACCATGTTGTCTGATTGGTTTTTGTCGCAACTGGTGAAGTAATAGGCCTGGCAACTATGCAGTCACCAATGTTAATAGTTTACAGTTTCCCCATTATGTGGGTCAAGACATGATGGTTTGTATTTCAGTATTCCCAAATTTTAATTTGTCCACCTTCAGCCAATCCTGGAGAGCCTTACATCAGCATAGCACCCTCAAGTAAGATTGTCCCAGCAGGTAGCTCAGCAGCATTCCCCTGTCAGATCCTAGGCGACCCAGTTCCCGTTGTCAGCTGGAGACGGGCCAGCAACCCCTACGACCTCTCCAACACCACCAGTTACCAAGTTCTTGCCAACGGCACCTTGTTCTTCCTCACTGTCGGAGATGCTGATGATGGGAGTTACGTGTGCACTGGAACCAGCCGGCTCGGAGCGGTGTCAACTAATCCCATCACTTTAACTGCAGCCAGTAAGTACGAGAATCTAGAGAGTAGCTGTGAACAGCATGCCGGGCCTGGAGATGGAAGCTGGGCCGTATATTTGCAAGAGAACATGACATTGTATCTGTGTCCAAACCTTATGACTGTGGCTGTTGAGGGCACATATACCTATGGAAGCCGCATAGCTAGTGGCTGCAGTGCCTTCCCATGAACATGTGCATTACTCCTAATCCTAGCCACAGCCAGTTGATCTGCACACAGCTTGTCCGGAGTTGTAATGAACTTGATACCTTATAACCAACTCAAAATGGCAGTTATCTGCACCCATTTAAAACAAGTGTTATTCCTTGCAACCTTTTCAGACTCTGGTAGTGACATACCGCTTTCCATTTAACAGACTCAGATAACAAATCCGAACAAACTTTGTCATCCAAATGCTGCTGCTTCTCTGAGTAACAGAGTTCTCTGACATTTTCCCATGATCAGGTTGCAGCTGATAGTATATTCTTCCTTTGGCGTGCAACAAGTTGGAACTTGCCCAACTGTGAATGTATAGTTTTGAAAAAATGTGTGCTTGGTTCTTAACATAGCAGAACACAGCTAAATACATTGTAGGATGGCACATTTTGTTGTTTCCTGGCATTTGAGGTACATAGCTTTACTGCAGGAATTAGTGTAATTCATGTACACATACATAAAAAACTGGATCAAAGACGGTAAGTTTTTTTACCAATTGCCTGGTTGCAGAGGCATCTGTGTAATTGTTCTTGTATACAGTTCAAAGTGAATTTACTCTTGTGGAACTCTGCTTAAACAAATTTCCTCTCTGCACACGTTGCATAAATAATACAACAAGATTTAGTGTTTTTTATGTACCTGTACCCATCAAGAAAAACATGTATTGGATTTGCTGTGTTTGCATTTTTCCGGAAGTAGAAATCAGTCATCGTAATTGCATGTGATGGTAAGCAATTTATTACTTGCTTAAAAATTATGATTCCAGTTTAAGGGTGCTTATCCTCCCTGAGATACATGTACATATCACCATTTAAGGATATTCTAAAATCTGAGCAAATTTAAATAGTATCACACGTGTATTGTAAAAAATACATGCAATGGATTTAGAATAATTTGGTGACCTTTGTGATTGTTGTCTTCTGACCTTGCTCAACCCCTCTTTCATTCCCCCCAAGTCAGACATGCTGATTGGCTTGTCCCTTCTGATTTCCTTGAGCCGCCTCTCGCAGGCTTTTGGTTTGTTTGTGCTTTGACCATGTTGTGAACTCACTCCATCCGCCCTCCAACCAGGCAGTTGGGAGGTTAGAGTCAAGCTTTCCCCTTGTCCTAATCATTTCTAATTTGCAGATTGTTTGGGACGTGTATATCTTATTGAGGAATCTGGCAGTTTGACAGATGGAAAAGATAACACCAAAAGGAGGCAAATGGAGGGGCGGGGTCAGCGGAAGGGTTGGTGGAAGGACAAAGTATTAGGATGGTTAGGGAGAAGCTCTCCAACAGCCCTTACATCAAGAATGTGGGACTGATTTTTATTAGAAATGATATTCCAAAATTGCACGTACTTGTAGAATGTAACATGGAACTTGCCACAAAGTGTACTCATGCTATGACAGTAATGTAGGTGTATGCTTTTAATGAGATCACATGTGAGTCATGCAATCTTCTGGAGTTTTCTCCAGACGCTCTTCCAGCTTTAGAGAACCAATCTTGTCCACGCTTATTAACTGCTAAAAATATTTGTCAGCATTGAAACAAACTTTGACTTTGAAGCCATCAAGATCCATGCGTATGCATGTACTCTGAGGAAGGAAGAATCCTTTTCATCACCATCACCATGATGCAAGTAGATCCATCGTCTTTCACTGATACCAGGCGGTACCTGTCACTGCATTAACATTTCAATTTGGCTAAATCGTGCTCACATCATAACATGAGGTGTTGGGTTCCTCCTGGGAACAAGTGTGCCTCGCAAGTTTTTATATATAAGTTGAATGTTCTAAGCACATTGAGCTAAAAATACCACCTTCGTGAAAGACACATCTAGGGGAGCAGGTTAGCATAGCAGTTCTTTTCTTGCTTTACCCCAATGAAGCCAGGGTACGAGTCCTGGCTTGGCCCTGGCTTTAAGTGCATTTGGTTTCCAGTCCATACTTGCTGTTGCAGGTTTCCTCCTGCTTTGTGAAACTGGACCTTCTTCCTGACCTCCTTAATGTGATGCTGATTAATAAAGGTTATGAATAAATGTATAGTTATTGGCACAAATAGCCTGAGAAGCTGAAAGTGCCATTAACACAAAAAACAAACAAGAAGAAAACACATCTACATGTACAATGTACACATGTATGCACATGCTGGTCTGCATCATGATTCACTGTTATCGAGTAGTAAAATCTGGACAGTGATGACCAAAGATCTTATAGCACTGTGTAGCGGCGCAAGATGGGGAACTTCACCATGAATATGAGTAAAATGTTGTTATCGCATGGGCACCATTTGGGTTGGACTACACCTGCGCAAGGCATGTTAATGCACAGTGCAGGCGCTGCGACAGGCCGGCACACACTCTGCCTGTGCCTGTGCATTCACACTCGAATGGCGCCCATGGTGATAACGCCTTTTTGGCCGAGTTATCCATCTTGCGCCGCTACATTGATGATGACCATAATAACTTCTGAGTCATTAAGATTTAGGAAGGGATGACTGTGTTCATACTGATAGCTATGTATCTGAAGTGCAGTTAATGGGACAGTTACATGCAAAAAGGTGATGATTCGTTGAAAATGGAGGGAGTTGAATGGGAACAGTCATCATGACCTATTTGATGTCACAGCAAATCCAGATTTTTATTTCAACTGAACGCTGGAATCTGATGTCTTTGAAATGTGCATTTCAAGGTGGATATGAACAGTGACTGAAGAAAGGTACATGTGTGTAAAATGGACGGAAATGTCCCATCATATCCAAGATTTATTCCCACCGGAATCAGGGTTACCATTGTTGCAGGAAATGTGTACCAGTACTAAATCATGCAGCAGATTAAAATTAACAGAGTGAGAATTGGGGAAGAAAAGGTTGAAGTGGGACTTTCATCACGACCTATTCAATATCACAACAAATCCAGTAGTCTTTGAAAATGTTCATGGATGACTATCATACAGCACACACAGGATGACGTCTTTCATGTATTGATATGAAATGATAATGGAAAAATTTCTTACACATGTACCTTTGCTATTTTAAGAATGTATTTGTAAAGTGATTTGTACAATTCAGAAATAGTTAACAGTTCATGTAATGAAAGTGGATGGAATCTTCAGTGTACATATACTTGACGCAACAGATTTCTTGGTACACTTTGATGCTAATGAGATTTAGCAGACCACAAGAGGAGGAAATGTCACCAACCTATTTTGTGTTCATGCAATGCTTGTGCTGGCATCCCAACCTCAGTAAACCTCATAATTCCCCTTATGTAGGAATTGCCCCTAAAGGCAGAAAGCGTTATTTTTGTGTACTCTGTATTATAGAGTCTTTTGTTTTGAAGTCCCTTGTGCACTTTGTAATGAAAAACAGCAGAATGCAGAAAGCCTCCTTTCCCTGTTCTGATTTGCAGGCCACATGTGGAACATTAGAGCTACCTGTTTGTTTAACAAAAGGTGTTGTCCACCTCACCCCCAGGGATGCACCGACAGGGAACCTGTGCATTGTTTTGCACAGATCATGCCATTTGTTTCATTTCAGCTTCCTCAAGATAATGAAATGGGACCCAGCATTCCACTTGGCTCCCCCCCCCCGTTACGTGTGACTCAAACAGAGAATTCTTAAACAACATTGTGTGGGTTAATTGATTGATACGTGAAGTTGCACACCTTGCTGTCAATGATTTGGCAGATTTGTGTGTGTTTTGTAAAATTGTTGAAGTATTCATTATAAAAATCTGCATTCATTCAGCCCTTCAAAATGCTTTTCAGGTCACTTTTAATGTATTGCTGTGTCTGTATTAACTGATTGCCACCAGGAGTAATGCAGGTGTCTGTGTTAAGAACTCCGTAGCTGCAGCCACTAGCTAGTGGATTCACATGTGTATGTTAGGCTGTATCTGAATGATATGTACTTACATGTAGCTGCGGGAAAAATGGTGCACACGTCTTTGGTTGTGGCAATTCCGATAGAGTAGTGTATAAATAAAAATATAATTCCAAGCCATACATGTAGATAAGTGATTGGGATCCATCCTTAGCCTCAGCCACTGCCAAAACATTCAAGTGCAGTCTTGGCTCCTTTGAGACTGTAGTGCTCTCAACAATTCTTGCACGGACCAGATTTGTGTCTGTAAGCTTTCATCCACTTTACATGTACGTTACATCACTTCTGTTACGGAAATCCTGGTTCACAGATTCTTTCAGTAAGGGTAGATGATCAGTAAACTAATAATTACATTTTATTTTTGTTTTTTCATGTAGCCATGGACTGGTTCTTTACAGAGAGTCCGTCCAATGTAGAGGTAGTGGAAGACTCTGCCGCAACGTTGATCTGCCGCCCTCCAGTCAGCAAGCCTCCTGCCAACATCACATGGTACAAAAACAATGTGCCGTTTGTACCGAGCCAGGGCGCTGCTGTGCTTGGTGAGTTTGTATCTGAGAAGAGCCTAAAATGTTCAGAATACTTGAGCTAGTGTTACAAGTTAAAATCAGCTGAAGCTTTCTGCTAGGGTTATTAAATTTTTTTACGAGACAGATATCAGCATTCAGTAGGGTTGCAGTGAACAAAACCAAGGTTTTGTAAAACTTAAGTCTGGTCACGTATTTGGTGCTGCTTTAAATTCCAAACTTGATAATTGGTAAGACATGGTACATGTACATCGCCAACCCTATCACTTAGTCTCAATGTCCAGTTCTGAAGGTAATGGCACATGTAATAAGACTGTTCAGTATTCTAATATGGCAGAGTCAATTGGGATAAAAACATTCCGATGCCAGCTTGATAATGTTCAGTGCTTGTGAGTTGGTGTACAGGAATATGCTGATGGATCTGATCCCATGAGCTCAAAATGATCTGGTCTGATCTCAAAATGACATGTAGCGCACTTCATTTTGTGTGTGTGCTGCTGGAGCTCCACAATGGCACATTGTACGAGCATGAAGCATTTAAATGTGCTCAGATAGTATCTAAATCATGATTTAGATACGTAAGTATAACTTAATTTCCAGATCAAATTGTGCTTGAAAGATAGTCGGCAAGAAAACCAAACTGGAATCTATACATGCTGGTAATCTTTCTTTGTTTTGAGTGATCATTCAGTCAAAAATGTATCAGTTGTTTGTATCCTAGTCACAAGCTCATGTTTGTTCATGCTTGGCATGAAAGCAAACACAAATGCAAAATTTTGATGTTAGATCAAATATTCATACTGCATATTTGCAAAAGTTGAACCCATTCCAACTTAGTAAAAATTTGTCTGCAAATCTTTGGTGACGTCGAGCTGGCTTTGCTGTCACATACGCCTGTATTATGAACTGGCCTTTAAACAATTAATACATTGTGTTAAAGTACATGTAATTCATGCCAAACCTGGATAGCGGAAAAATCATGTGGCTTGGCTGTGAAAGCACATGAGGTGATGTAATGTGCACAGGTGCAACTTCCATGTCTCATGTTTGGTCGGAAGAGGGTGTGCTTTTGTTCACAACATGGTCTGGCTTCCTGATTATCTTTGCAAATGAGCTCCATCCTAGCAATATATCCATTACAAAGCAGTAAAAAAAAAAAAAAAAAATAAAAAATAGACAAAAAGTCAAAGGGTATGAGCTACCTGGTGCCCTCTGTGGTTTTGAATCAAAAGTTACAAAGTGGTATTGGAACCTCCGATTCCTTAAGGCACCCCTCAGGCTCATTAAAGCCTGAAGAAACCTGTAGAGAGCAGACAATGAGAAGCAGATAACTCCAGTAGAATATTTGGGGGAAAACTCAAGGAACTCAGGTACGGACTGAAAACCTAATCCAGTTCAGGACCAAGCTGGGAATCAAACTGGGGTTGCAGAGGCGAATGGTGAGGAAAGAACCCCAGACCCTGACTTCCCTTCAAAGTGTACACAAGAAAAAAAACAAAAATGACCATTTACAGCGATGTGATATTCCATGGACTCTTTTTACGTTCTCTGTGCAGTTTTTTAGCAGCCTAGACAAATGGTGAACAGGAGGTTGAAAAACCACAATGCCGATGGCATAAAACACAAAGCCTTGTTTGTTTCCAGCAGCAAGCCACTGAGAAGGGCCCAATTTCTGATGGGGGAGGGGGTTGGAACCCCGACAGCCTTCTGTAGTTTACCTCGGCACATTTCCAACAACATTCTCTTGAAATGTCACAGGCGGCATCTCATCAATCATTGCCAAATTACCCCAGGAATCTACCCGGAAGAATTTCTCTTTTCCACCCCCTCAAGCCAAACCTGTGTAAGATGAAAAGCTAAGGTGCTGTGTTGAGTGATAAAATACATGGTATTTTGGGCTTTTAGATGTAAATTTTCCACCTTTGGGGGTAAATGAGGTAACTTTTTGTGGCTGTTGCCAAAGTGAGGGCTGCGATCAATGTATTAACCTTTGTGAAGTTCAAAAGACTATCAAGGCTAAGGGCAACTTCTAAGTTACCGGTTGGCAAGGCCTAATTGTTCGGTAGGTTTGGTATGCACTTGGCTTATGGCCTGTGAAAAATTTTGGATCCTACAGAAAGTTTTAGGGCTTCCAAAAAAACTGTTGAAAAAACACCAACATTTATTCACATGTCAGAAAAGAATCTGGGTCTCTCCCACAGAGATTTTGACATCGGGAAAGCTTTATACTACATGCACATGTAAGTACAGTTCATAGCTTACTCAAGCTTTATATCAATACAAAAACAAGGCTCTAGTGCTAACTAGTACTTTGAATTGGTGCTTCTATTGAGGGAGGGATGTAGCCTACAAAACACTGATACCTTGGGCCTAAGGAGCTCTTTTGTCTAGGACCTACAGGGACTTAACACTTCATTCAGCCTAGTGGGGTGGTCTTTGTTTGATAATAAAAAGGAGAGGACTTTCCTGAGTTAATGCTTGATGGAAGCTTTTCCAGCTACTGTACTTAAACACAGCAGATTTTTTTCATGTCTTTGCATTGTACCATTCTCTGTAACCCACAATATGTGGAGAGCTCCTACCAAATGTAGGTCAAATTTGCCAGTGTAGATTAGTTTTACAGTTGATGCGATGACCCACTTGCTGCTATGCTCGCAATATTTTTGTTCGCAATATAATTCAGACTCAAATTGTGTAATTACAGTTGCTCATGGACTGTTTTCCAGGCCCCACTTACCCCCCCCCCAAAGTGGGTGTAGTAAAGGGAGCTGTGTTTTGTTTAAAACCGTGGGCAAATCTATTGAGTACTCCAATCCATAAAGTAGCCTACGTCCATTTCCTAGGTGCAAAATTGATGCTAGCTTACACAAAACATGTCACATTTGCCACCTCTTTGAAATACAGGTGTATTTTAACCCAAAAAGAGCCAGGTTATTTTGGCCCATCTCACAGCGGTGGGGGGGCAAGAACTTGGCTGTGCCATGCCTGATTTTTTTGAACGTGGCTTGCATATATACAGACACTCCATCTCATTATAAACATGAAGTTTGAACTCAATCCAATGGATGGTTTTGTTATGGTCATTTGAAGTTATGGCTACATGCGTGTCAGTATGGGTGCATTGAGCACTGCAGTGGAAGTATACATTTTGGGCAGATCCATCTCTGGAAAATGTATGCTGCATGAGAAAAGTATGTTGGATTTTTGTAAAAAACGGTGTCAAAATGACTGCAAAGAGTTACTTTTAAAACTGTGGAGATATCAGAAAAAATGTCAAAGGGAGGGGCAGATTCCTCTCCCCTGGCTCACTATTTAGGGTTAATATGTGCACAACAAGGTTTTTACTTTATGAAAAACAACTCTACACTGAGTTGCTCATTTGAGCTTCAGTCAGTTTTTTTCATGGATTCAACATGCAAACATCTTTAATTTGGGGGGAAATCAATTCAGTCTAACTCCATTTCTTCCATACTATTTTCCATCTTCATTTTCTATTATTTCCTCCAATATAACAATTTTCTATCATTTTCCAACCCTGAAATAAGTGGTGACAATTTATTCTGGGATCACTTCGACTTATTGGTGGTCTGGACATTTTTAACAGAACCCTGGGACTGAGCTGATCATTTTACATTACTCACCTTAGTCAAAGAGGACACTACAGTATTTGCTGTCCTGGATGATGAAGCACAGAAAGGCTAAACAGGACGTGTTATTTTAATTATTACAAGGAGAAGATCGGTGTTAGGCCAGGTTGGAAGGAATTGGCCAATTACCTACACATGTAGTGGTCTTCATTAACACACACTCTTTTAAGTTTTGCCAAATGTGATGTACCATCCCCAAACCAGGCTGAAGTAGGTAATTTCATAACCCAAAATATTGGAACTTCCACTCTTCAGATTTTCATGGAAGCTTTACAACTATCACTACCCGTGAGAAGCTTACTGCATACAGAATTTTGATTTATTATGGATCACTTTAAAGTGTAAAAAAAAGCTGAAGGAGAGGAATTGTCCAACATCACAAATACCGACTTCAGCCTGGTTTGGGGATGATAGCTCACAAATGTCTAAATTAAAAATGAACTCTGGAAATTTCAAGCTATTGATGGTACATGTATCAGACACATGTATCCTGTTTGCTTAATTTTTGTCAACTAAATCTAGCTCTTACATGTACCTTAATACCAGTAGAATGAAAGCGGTATAGATAAATTATTACATGAGCTGTTTCCGTTGCAAGACTTGTTTGACCTCCATTGATTGTTCTTGATTTCAAAATTCCATTTCTGGATTCTTTCAAGCTATGATTGGTAATTCATAAATACTCCAGACAGTGTTTCCTTATTCAAGAATGTGCAACTTTACCATGTGTTAACATTTAATAATGCCTACTGAGAAGTGATACTGCCTGCTGCGTGAATCACGTGCCGGCACCTGGATACAAGACAGTTTAATCGATTTTGATTGGTCAAGAGTCTGTGTGCACAAGGGATATTCCATAAAATAGACGAGGGTGTTCTGGAAACTGAAAGCAAAATTCTAGAACAAAATTGCTGGAAATCCATCATATATTGACTTCTGTTGACTCTCTGACTAAAAAGATATATATGAATTGGAATAAGTATGTGCTTGGCTGATCTTAAACTAACGTTTAAGACTGGCTCAGGAGACTGAACATTGATAATGCCTGAGCTGCAGTCTCAGGCATTAGTCATGCCCATTCTCCTGAGCCTGGCTTAAACATATTTATTCACTTATTTAAAGATCAGTGTATACGTAGCTTTTTGTCTGAAATCATCACTCAGCATTCTTTCTCACAACAAACTCGTGAAGGGATGTGGAACCGGCAAAACGATAATTAAAAATGTTTCACAGTACACTGTGTTACTCTGCTTCTTTAACCCTAACAGTCCTCAGTCCTCCAACAGGTGCAGGATTGAGGAGTGTTAGGGTTAATGACAAATTAAGTGAACTTTATATGCATTGCCATTAAGTTGTCACAGTTTAATG